GATAAAAAAAACGCAGCCTAAAATTAACCTACAGAGCGTTAAAAACACGCGAGATAACCTAAAATAGCGTTTTGAAGCATTTGAAAGAAAACCACCGTTGGTTGCCCTTGGTTCAGTATCGCGGAACTGAGAACATTTAAGCATCCTAATAATTTGTGTTCTCTTCTTCACAACATGTTTGTAAGGAATAACTTTACTCCTGTTTTTTTTTTTCGTCGTGGTTGCCTTGATAACTACCGCAGCTCTTGTTTATTCACAAAGTCGGGCGAGTCTCACTAGCTAAGCTAGCTTGGAAACGAACTGGGAGGATATTGGCCTTCGGTCTCTTTTGAAAGGGGACCTCGTTACCTCCATGACCGTGGACATATACGGCCCTCCCGTTTGCTAACCACGGTACTAGTAAATTCAGATACAGATACTGGCCTTGAATTTTAATTCATTTCAAAATGAACAGTACAGCAAAACAGTACGATTGTAAGAAAATTTGTTTTTAAACAGGGTTTGTAACTGAATGGATGTTCTTTCTTGCCAGCAGAAGTTTTCCATAAACACTGTAGGACTGGACGTCAAAGGCAACGTGACTGACATAAAGATTGGCATTTGATTATAACAAATCTCGATTATTAATTTCAAACTCGGATACTACATTCTCCACTTTCTGACTGGTTCGCTGACTCTCAGTCTTTTTTCAGCCATCACAAATGTGTTTGACCGAGTGTGAGCGCCACAGGTATCGCCTACCTTAATTAAGAGTTTTCGTCGGTAAAGGCCGTGTACTTTCCGTGTAGAACGGCAGATTTAATGGGCTTCTACCGCAGAAACTATGAAATATAATGGGCAACGCTTTCCAGGAAACTGGAATGTCACCAATTAACTCAGCTACCTAAAGATTGATACGCCGGAATATGTATAATTGAAAGGCCGGCTCTTAAATGTACAACAAAAGTGACTGAATGAGGAAAGAGTAGCAAAAAGACTCAACAACAGACCCAAAAATGTACACAATTTCGTTCGGAAAGTGAAAAAAAAAAAGTTTCCTATATTAGCGCTTGAGTAACGTTTGTTACCTTACATTAGGGCCTTTTCCTCTGATAATCCTGTGAGCTTGATGGTTTTTGTGTGAAAAATTGTAGTAACATGTCGCTCTTGATGATGACAGCCGCTTAGTCAAGTAAACTCTTCTTTGTTTCGTTAATTTGACTTACACACGACGATTGATTTTTAGCAACGCTATTACTTTGGATAATCTGGTAAAACCTTCGTCGTTCATTTTCACAGTTTTTCAGGATATAGACGGTTGTAGAAGGGATCGTGCAAAGATACTTCTGAAGGAAACTCTGTCTTGCTCGCTTTCCTCGTATGTTTCATTCAGCTCAAACGGGGGCGCCAAACATTTTTCTGCCTTTTCATACACCAATTCGTTTACATCAAACTGAAATGTCCACACCGTCCAGACGATTCTCAATTTAATAAAATCGCCCTTGTTAGATATGAAATGATTATACCAACTTCGGTGCTACAAGCCAAGCATCTTAATGCAATAATTGTTAAATAACGCTCCTTCCGTTTGCTAAAAGCGTGAATTTTCTAAATTGGCGTGCTCGAATTTCAATAGTTGTTACTTCGGTCAATGTCCTTAGGTAGACTAAAGGTGACAAAATCTGCCGATATGCGACTCTCATGCAAGCAGTAATGGATGTTTATTACAATTTTCCATTGTCTCTCATACTCGCGATAAATTTTATACCAAGGTCACCTTTTATGGTCGCCATGGTCGCAGCTAAACTGAATGAATTTGTTCGGTCAAGATTTACATTTTTAATTAAGCGATTTCTTCAATTATTGTAAATCGATAAATTAAGTTAAAAATAGCTAAAAATAGTAGCCTGAAGGCATATTTTGTTTTGAATTTGCTCTGTGAAAGCAATAGTGAATATTATTTTAACCAGTCTCTCATAATGGTCTAGTGAGCACAGTTGCTATGGCAACCGTGAAAAGCAACCTTTGTACTCTACAAAGGCATAGCTACTTATCATCACCATATTGTGAAAGGTCTTGATTTTGCTGCATCACAATACAACACTGACCCGGCAATATCTACGTCAGTGTGTTTATAACCAAAAAACGACCGTGTATGTTTCATCATTTATCACATGATAGTTCAGTAACTTCTTTCCTGCTGAAAGATTATCCAGTTTGAAGCCAATTGAATTGAATTGAAGTCTGATTTGAGGCCTAGCAGTAATTGTATAAGGTAAGAAATACAGACAGCTTAATTTACCGATTCCCGCTGAGTCAAAAGCATGATGACTTAAGTAATTTACTTTCCTATATGACAATAGGTTTCTTAGACGCCTTTTTACAGGTTACTAAATTTGTCGAACCATACAACATAACAGCTATATGTTTTTCTAGCATATTCTTCAGAAATAAGAACGAACGCAGCTAATATTACGTGTTTAGGCTTCAAGCGCAAACCGGCTTAATTACATAACTTGATCAAAAAGACCCACGCGTAATCGACTACACCGTGGAACAGCAGTTTACACAGAGTATTTAGAAAAACACCACTTTTTAAAACTAAACTTTTCCTTTCGTGGTCGACATTTAGCAGTTGTATTTTGAGAATTAAATTGTGTTTTCTATAAAATCCCGGGAAGAATAAGAACTTAATTTATTTACATATTTAACTTCAGGTGTAATTGTGGAATTAATGATTGAATAGTTCGATAGCACCTTATTGTTATTCAGAACGATTGTTTTCTGTTTCTAAGAGTTCTTTTGTTTATGTGCGTTTTGATTTTCACAGCTGAAAAACTTCCAATTCCTTTATTTGATGCATCACCATTAGACATAATCTTTGATCCTCTTTTGCTTTAGAAAAACAGCCCAATTTTTTGAAACCTTTGTTTTAAATTCCTGACATGAAAACACTAACCATCTTACGTCTAATTCAACTCACTTATATGTCTTTGTATTTTTCCCTTTGTTGCTAGACGATCAGTTATTACTTTTCCTGTTGCACACATGCCACTAAACAGGCATTTTAAGCTGTTGCAGCCATAACGGCAAGGTGGCAACCATAGTCCGGGTGCCCGTGACCCACTATGGCCGTCCCCTTTACTTGGAGAGCTGGCAAATTTTAACTTTACTAGAATTATTCCTTGGACCTTGGTGGTTAATGCTAGGGTGGCAGTGGAAACTCTGGAGCGGGCAGTTTTCGGCAACGCTAATGTGGGCACTACACCACTAGTTGTATAGCGACTATGCTAAGAATCAAACATATTTTATTAAGTAAATACTTTTGAGGATACGTGGGTAGGGGCACAATGAACGACCCTTCACGTTTACGAACGAGAAAAGTACAGGTTAAATAATTACTAAATGGGTGCAGTGACCATCTAGCAGAGAAAACTTTTATTTTTCCCTGAGATAGACCTAGAAAATTTATAAGCTTGTTTTTACGTTTACAGACGCGACCTCCCAATGCTACAGGCAACTTAAGTTTCAACATAATTATATTTTTATTTTATTTTGGATGTAAGCCTTGTATCTTCTGTCTGAATTGTGATATTTTTCTCAATAGTTTTTAATTGATAAGTGAAGGGAACTTTATACAAAAATAAGAACAAATGTAAAATATATAAATGCCCTCTCCAAAAAGACGTTTAAGATTGCGTGAATAGATAAATGTACTCGGTCGTATTGACTTTCTCCGTTTTTGTGAATTTTATGACGTGATAATCTGATCACGCGACTTATTATAAACATCATCATGTTATCCGTGGCATGAGTTCAATCTTGGGAAAATTATGTATTATTAGACAAAATCTTTTGATGGCTATAGGTCATAAACTTTTTTCACTCCTCGTCCCAGATTGTTGTGAAAATCACGTTAAAAAACACATAGACACTTAGGTGTACTTTGAGATGCTGTAAATAAAATTACCACGGCCCACTTGCCTAGCTCCACTGCCACCCCATTATTATTCCCTAAGGTCTAAAGAACATTGCTGGGTGAGCCAAAGTCCGCCAGCTCGTCGAGTAAACGAAACAATTTTTTTAACCCTGTTTCCCAGCGTGGGCACTCTGACCTACCAGTGCTGAGTTTGTTTTTGTTCAAAAGACTAATATCGGCGGGGTAAATTTCAAGGTGAAGAGAAAACCGTTTTACTCTAGAAATTTACTTTTCAATACTTAGTGGGCTTATCTTTTTGTTAGGCATTTTATTTCGCGTACGAAAACCTCAGGTGTTCAGAAATGTGCACCGTGAAAAAACTGTCCAAATCAAAACTGAAGATGACGATATATATGAAAATAATCAAGCTAAGCATACTGATATTCAAAAGTATTGTGAAATGAGTATACTTCAACAACAGGAAATGTCTTCTGTAAAAAGGTAACCAATGTAACTAAAGCACAAACTCAAACTGCGACTTATTCACGTTGTGGTTTATACAATTTTTCTTTATGCCAAGGCATTTGTGGTTACGAGTCCCATAAAATTTTCAAACCAGCCCTAAATTAGGTCTAACAAAGAATATGTTTGATTGAATAATTACCGGTTATAAACTAAGGTTTCGAAATCCCTGCTTTTCTTCAGTTGTTGCTGTATCTGTTGGCTTTTGCTACTTTGTTTTCGGCTTACAGTTGCTTTTCGAATCAACTATTTATTTCTTAACATTACTTTACAGAAGCATGTCTTCCCAAGTTTCTTCCCAAGTTGAAGCCGCCTTGAAGCGTATACAAAGCCACAAAGGGGTGGTTGGGACCATAGTGGTGAACTCCGAGGGGATCCCTTTAAGAACGGACCTGGACAACTCCAACACACTCCTACATGCCTCCTTGTGCAAAGCACTAGTATCTATGGCCAACAACACAGTTCGAGATATTGACCCAGAAAATGAGCTGACCATTCTACGAGTGAAATCGAAGAAGAATGAACTGATTATCTCACCTTGGGATGATTACCTATTGATTGTTATTCAAAATAACAATGAGTGAATGACGGAGACAATATGGTAGGCCCTTTGCAGCTGGGGTCACGTGACCAACATTTTTATAAAGAAAAATTATATTATGGGCATAACTTAAAGAATGTCAGAAATGGAAAAAAGCGTATCGAAACTAGCAAAATGGCTAAGTTTGAGGCCCCTGTCATTAAAGAATACGTTGATACAACAGTTTGAATTTTCGGACAATTTTGGGAATATCTACGGAAAGTGTTGCTCGAGAGCAACCTCTTGCTCTTCAACAACTTTTTCCGTACAAGTCTTCTTAATTTTTTGACAACTCAAACAGTCATAAAATCCCATTCTTTCAATTCCAGGGGCCTCAAACTTGGTCATTTTGCCTAATTCGACAGACTTTTTCTGGCTGCAAAGGGCCTATCAAATAGTTGTGTGCATGTCAAGTGCTCAGCGTGAGATATAGAAAATATTGTCTTCAGTATTTATATGATACGCTTTCTGTTATTTTGATTACATACTGCAGCATCGCGAGATGAACTCCCTGAACATGTGGCGACTAATCGAAAATAAGACGAACAAGACATATACACATTTTGGTACTCTTCACATAGGTTTGTAGAATAAAAGTTTTATAATAATGGCAAACATGTCTGTTATGAGGCGTATTCTGATTGGGGCTCAAACTTTGCAATAACAAAAATGGTTCACCCTCGAAATAATTTCAATCATTTGCGTTTTTTCCGAAACATTTTACAAATAAAATATTTCAACCCTTTTACATGAGCAGTTAATTGTCTTAAGTATAACTTTACATGCAATGCAATGGTTGAAGAAAACTTTTTAAGCAGAAGTTTTGAAGTCTGGTAGCGCGTTAAGTACTAAGCGCCCGCCTATGCTAAAATATTCTGACGAGAACGACTAAATGATGGTTGTAGTCAGGAAAACTAAGTTTGATTCAATCAAGGTTCACTAGAACGAATAGATGTCTGTATGGGACTTTAATCATCATCTAATCGTACAGTATCACGTCATAATGCTCACCCCTTCAGGTACTGAATACCATGGAGGCAGGACAAGAAAGTTATTTTACGAGAAACTTGAACAACATTTTTATTTCACCATTAAACAGTAGATACATATAAAAGTGTAAATGAAGAAAGAGGGTATTGTATGTAAGCAGTGTTTTGTACTCAAGGCTGTGATCAAAGCTTGTCTTACGGTTTGATTGTAAAACCTTCACATACTGGCTATTTCCGAGTTGGTCTTAACCTTGCTCTCAGAACGAGACTTGGTGGAATACTAAAATTGATTGTACAAAAATTCATTTCATACAAGACTTCGCCAGGAATACCTTTTGAAACGAAGGTGTATAAACTCGTTAATGGCTAAAACTACAATCTAATTTTGAAGCGAATTGCTTGCCGCTATACTCATGAAATAGTCTACATATTTCTAATCAATAGTATAAATTTTTGTACAACTAACTAGACATTGTAACTTTTTCTAATTGTTTCTTCGTCATTGCATGTCATTAACACAAAGACCAGTCCCACTTAACTCTTCAGGCATGTATTGTTACAGCCGTTGACAATGGCCCTCCTCAGGCTCGATGTCATTATCATACGCTATCGCCTTCTGAGTCAAACGGGTCGTACGACCAGCATCCAGGTGATGTACTACTACGCACGCTATCAACAGATGTCTGGGATCTACTTCCGGTTCCGGGCGTGAGGTCGAGGCCGAACATGAAGTCGCTGACCTCCTGATCGCTGGATATCGAAGACAGAGGACTGCACGAGCACTTAGGCACGCTGTCATTGGAGAATCCATTTGACATTGGAAACGTTACAACGCCACGCGTGCTGCGCTTGTCCAGAAAACGCCTAAGGGCGCTTTGAACCATCAAAGCGGCTGAAAATGGATCACGGTATTTTGCACGCGGCACTGAGGTGTTCCTTGATGGAGAATCTCCGGTATTATTATTATTGCTGTTGCTCTCGGCCGTTGTGATAGGAGATGCCATGGCGTCGCTGAAGGGTATGTCGCAAGCGTCGACACTGGCAATTTCATTGGAACCCGATCGGGATTTACTAATGCGTGATCTCTTCCTGACTCCGCGTCTTCTAAAATGAGTTTCCAACTTGGACGCTATTTGCTCAAAGGCAAGCGGTGATTCGCCTTTTTTCTCCAAAAGCCGCTTGACCAGACAGCGAAGAAGGTCGAAGCACTGCACCCGGTAACCCATCCGTACATTGATTCCCATTCGTACGAGCTCCTGCTCGTTAGGCTTGCGAATTTTAAAAGGCTCGTCAAGCAGATCGACGAAGTCTGAAACTTGATCCACCAGAAGATACTGCTTTCCATCTGTTACAAACGAGGCCCATTTTTCATAATAACCATCGAGGTCCTCTTTAGTGATGACGAGCCCTCCTTCTTGTGCTCGGTTCACGTTCTCAAGGATAATGGCAATATACATGTTCACTATGATAAGGAAAACTATGAAGATGTAGGACACAAGGTAAATCACTGCCCCTACGGGAAATCCGCAGTTACCATTCGGGAATCCCCCATAGTTTGGATCGCAGTCAGGTTCGCGAAGCATTAAGGATTCTAGAATATCATTCCAACCCGCACCTGTAGACAAGCGAAATAACAGCATCATGGAGCGGCCGAAAGTCTCGAAGTTTACCGTGTCGTCCAAGTTCTTCTGTTTCTTAACATGACCAAAGGTGGACATTCCAATGATGGCGTATATGAAGATTATTAAGAACAGGAGTGTCCCAACGTTCAAGAGAGCTGGTAAAGAGATGATTAGCGCCACCAGTAGCTGGCGAATTCCCTTTGCAAACTGCAGGATCCTGAGTAACCTGGCGACTCTTGCGACGCGAAAGACTCGAAGAAGACCTGGATTGATGATACTATTGTCACCAGTCGTGAGCTCGTCCATCGCCAAACCTGTAGACAATATAATGATATGAATAGGGCCATTTCTTAAAAAAATATATTTATTTATTTATTTATTTAATACAATTTAATGGCAGATTTACAAAACAACAAACAAACAAAAATAAGCCATAAGGAGNCTAAATTGGCGTGCTCGAATTTCAATAGTTGTTACTTCGGTCAATGTCCTTAGGTAGACTAAAGGTGACAAAATCTGCCGATATGCGACTCTCATGCAAGCAGTAATGGATGTTTATTACAATTTTCCATTGTCTCTCATACTCGCGATAAATTTTATACCAAGGTCACCTTTTATGGTCGCCATGGTCGCAGCTAAACTGAATGAATTTGTTCGGTCAAGATTTACATTTTTAATTAAGCGATTTCTTCAATTATTGTAAATCGATAAATTAAGTTAAAAATAGCTAAAAATAGTAGCCTGAAGGCATATTTTGTTTTGAATTTGCTCTGTGAAAGCAATAGTGAATATTATTTTAACCAGTCTCTCATAATGGTCTAGTGAGCACAGTTGCTATGGCAACCGTGAAAAGCAACCTTTGTACTCTACAAAGGCATAGCTACTTATCATCACCATATTGTGAAAGGTCTTGATTTTGCTGCATCACAATACAACACTGACCCGGCAATATCTACGTCAGTGTGTTTATAACCAAAAAACGACCGTGTATGTTTCATCATTTATCACATGATAGTTCAGTAACTTCTTTCCTGCTGAAAGATTATCCAGTTTGAAGCCAATTGAATTGAATTGAAGTCTGATTTGAGGCCTAGCAGTAATTGTATAAGGTAAGAAATACAGACAGCTTAATTTACCGATTCCCGCTGAGTCAAAAGCATGATGACTTAAGTAATTTACTTTCCTATATGACAATAGGTTTCTTAGACGCCTTTTTACAGGTTACTAAATTTGTCGAACCATACAACATAACAGCTATATGTTTTTCTAGCATATTCTTCAGAAATAAGAACGAACGCAGCTAATATTACGTGTTTAGGCTTCAAGCGCAAACCGGCTTAATTACATAACTTGATCAAAAAGACCCACGCGTAATCGACTACACCGTGGAACAGCAGTTTACACAGAGTATTTAGAAAAACACCACTTTTTAAAACTAAACTTTTCCTTTCGTGGTCGACATTTAGCAGTTGTATTTTGAGAATTAAATTGTGTTTTCTATAAAATCCCGGGAAGAATAAGAACTTAATTTATTTACATATTTAACTTCAGGTGTAATTGTGGAATTAATGATTGAATAGTTCGATAGCACCTTATTGTTATTCAGAACGATTGTTTTCTGTTTCTAAGAGTTCTTTTGTTTATGTGCGTTTTGATTTTCACAGCTGAAAAACTTCCAATTCCTTTATTTGATGCATCACCATTAGACATAATCTTTGATCCTCTTTTGCTTTAGAAAAACAGCCCAATTTTTTGAAACCTTTGTTTTAAATTCCTGACATGAAAACACTAACCATCTTACGTCTAATTCAACTCACTTATATGTCTTTGTATTTTTCCCTTTGTTGCTAGACGATCAGTTATTACTTTTCCTGTTGCACACATGCCACTAAACAGGCATTTTAAGCTGTTGCAGCCATAACGGCAAGGTGGCAACCATAGTCCGGGTGCCCGTGACCCACTATGGCCGTCCCCTTTACTTGGAGAGCTGGCAAATTTTAACTTTACTAGAATTATTCCTTGGACCTTGGTGGTTAATGCTAGGGTGGCAGTGGAAACTCTGGAGCGGGCAGTTTTCGGCAACGCTAATGTGGGCACTACACCACTAGTTGTATAGCGACTATGCTAAGAATCAAACATATTTTATTAAGTAAATACTTTTGAGGATACGTGGGTAGGGGCACAATGAACGACCCTTCACGTTTACGAACGAGAAAAGTACAGGTTAAATAATTACTAAATGGGTGCAGTGACCATCTAGCAGAGAAAACTTTTATTTTTCCCTGAGATAGACCTAGAAAATTTATAAGCTTGTTTTTACGTTTACAGACGCGACCTCCCAATGCTACAGGCAACTTAAGTTTCAACATAATTATATTTTTATTTTATTTTGGATGTAAGCCTTGTATCTTCTGTCTGAATTGTGATATTTTTCTCAATAGTTTTTAATTGATAAGTGAAGGGAACTTTATACAAAAATAAGAACAAATGTAAAATATATAAATGCCCTCTCGATCCAAAAAGACGTTTAAGATTGCGTGAATAGATAAAATGTACTCGGTCGAATTGACTTTCTCCGTTTTTGTGAATTTTATGACGTGATAATCTGATCACGTGACTTATTATAAACATCATCATGTTATCCATGGCATGAAATCAATCTTGGGAAAATTTTGTATTATTGGACAAAATCTTTTGGTGGCTATAGGTCATAAACTTTTTTCACTCCTCGTCCCAGATTGTTGTGAAAATCACGTTAAAAAACACATAGACACTTAGGTGTACTTTGAGATGCTGTAAATAAAATTACCACGGCCCACTTGCCTAGCTCCACTGCCACCCCATTATTATTCCCTAAGGTCTAAAGAACATTGCTGGGTGAGCCAAAGTCCGCCAGCTCGTCGAGTAAACGAAACAATTTTTTTAACCCTGTTTCCCAGCGTGGGCACTCTGACCTACCAGTGCTGAGTTTGTTTTTGTTCAAAAGACTAATATCGGCGGGGTAAATTTCAAGGTGAAGAGAAAACCGTTTTACTCTAGAAATTTACTTTTCAATACTTAGTGGGCTTATCTTTTTGTTAGGCATTTTATTTCGCGTACGAAAACCTCAGGTGTTCAGAAATGTGCACCGTGAAAAAACTGTCCAAATCAAAACTGAAGATGACGATATATATGAAAATAATCAAGCTAAGCATACTGATATTCAAAAGTATTGTGAAATGAGTATACTTCAACAACAGGAAATGTCTTCTGTAAAAAGGTAACCAATGTAACTAAAGCACAAACTCAAACTGCGACTTATTCACGTTGTGGTTTATACAATTTTTCTTTATGCCAAGGCATTTGTGGTTACGAGTCCCATAAAATTTTCAAACCAGCCCTAAATTAGGTCTAACAAAGAATATGTTTGATTGAATAATTACCGGTTATAAACTAAGGTTTCGAAATCCCTGCTTTTCTTCAGTTGTTGCTGTATCTGTTGGCTTTTGCTACTTTGTTTTCGGCTTACAGTTGCTTTTCGAATCAACTATTTATTTCTTAACATTACTTTACAGAAGCATGTCTTCCCAAGTTTCTTCCCAAGTTGAAGCCGCCTTGAAGCGTATACAAAGCCACAAAGGGGTGGTTGGGACCATAGTGGTGAACTCCGAGGGGATCCCTTTAAGAACGGACCTGGACAACTCCAACACACTCCTACATGCCTCCTTGTGCAAAGCACTAGTATCTATGGCCAACAACACAGTTCGAGATATTGACCCAGAAAATGAGCTGACCATTCTACGAGTGAAATCGAAGAAGAATGAACTGATTATCTCACCTTGGGATGATTACCTATTGATTGTTATTCAAAATAACAATGAGTGAATGACGGAGACAATATGGTAGGCCCTTTGCAGCTGGGGTCACGTGACCAACATTTTTATAAAGAAAAATTATATTATGGGCATAACTTAAAGAATGTCAGAAATGGAAAAAAGCGTATCGAAACTAGCAAAATGGCTAAGTTTGAGGCCCCTGTCATTAAAGAATACGTTGATACAACAGTTTGAATTTTCGGACAATTTTGGGAATATCTACGGAAAGTGTTGCTCGAGAGCAACCTCTTGCTCTTCAACAACTTTTTCCGTACAAGTCTTCTTAATTTTTTGACAACTCAAACAGTCATAAAATCCCATTCTTTCAATTCCAGGGGCCTCAAACTTGGTCATTTTGCCTAATTCGACAGACTTTTTCTGGCTGCAAAGGGCCTATCAAATAGTTGTGTGCATGTCAAGTGCTCAGCGTGAGATATAGAAAATATTGTCTTCAGTATTTATATGATACGCTTTCTGTTATTTTGATTACATACTGCAGCATCGCGAGATGAACTCCCTGAACATGTGGCGACTAATCGAAAATAAGACGAACAAGACATATACACATTTTGGTACTCTTCACATAGGTTTGTAGAATAAAAGTTTTATAATAATGGCAAACATGTCTGTTATGAGGCGTATTCTGATTGGGGCTCAAACTTTGCAATAACAAAAATGGTTCACCCTCGAAATAATTTCAATCATTTGCGTTTTTTCCGAAACATTTTACAAATAAAATATTTCAACCCTTTTACATGAGCAGTTAATTGTCTTAAGTATAACTTTACATGCAATGCAATGGTTGAAGAAAACTTTTTAAGCAGAAGTTTTGAAGTCTGGTAGCGCGTTAAGTACTAAGCGCCCGCCTATGCTAAAATATTCTGACGAGAACGACTAAATGATGGTTGTAGTCAGGAAAACTAAGTTTGATTCAATCAAGGTTCACTAGAACGAATAGATGTCTGTATGGGACTTTAATCATCATCTAATCGTACAGTATCACGTCATAATGCTCACCCCTTCAGGTACTGAATACCATGGAGGCAGGACAAGAAAGTTATTTTACGAGAAACTTGAACAACATTTTTATTTCACCATTAAACAGTAGATACATATAAAAGTGTAAATGAAGAAAGAGGGTATTGTATGTAAGCAGTGTTTTGTACTCAAGGCTGTGATCAAAGCTTGTCTTACGGTTTGATTGTAAAACCTTCACATACTGGCTATTTCCGAGTTGGTCTTAACCTTGCTCTCAGAACGAGACTTGGTGGAATACTAAAATTGATTGTACAAAAATTCATTTCATACAAGACTTCGCCAGGAATACCTTTTGAAACGAAGGTGTATAAACTCGTTAATGGCTAAAACTACAATCTAATTTTGAAGCGAATTGCTTGCCGCTATACTCATGAAATAGTCTACATATTTCTAATCAATAGTATAAATTTTTGTACAACTAACTAGACATTGTAACTTTTTCTAATTGTTTCTTCGTCATTGCATGTCATTAACACAAAGACCAGTCCCACTTAACTCTTCAGGCATGTATTGTTACAGCCGTTGACAATGGCCCTCCTCAGGCTCGATGTCATTATCATACGCTATCGCCTTCTGAGTCAAACGGGTCGTACGACCAGCATCCAGGTGATGTACTACTACGCACGCTATCAACAGATGTCTGGGATCTACTTCCGGTTCCGGGCGTGAGGTCGAGGCCGAACATGAAGTCGCTGACCTCCTGATCGCTGGATATCGAAGACAGAGGACTGCACGAGCACTTAGGCACGCTGTCATTGGAGAATCCATTTGACATTGGAAACGTTACAACGCCACGCGTGCTGCGCTTGTCCAGAAAACGCCTAAGGGCGCTTTGAACCATCAAAGCGGCTGAAAATGGATCACGGTATTTTGCACGCGGCACTGAGGTGTTCCTTGATGGAGAATCTCCGGTATTATTATTATTGCTGTTGCTCTCGGCCGTTGTGATAGGAGATGCCATGGCGTCGCTGAAGGGTATGTCGCAAGCGTCGACACTGGCAATTTCATTGGAACCCGATCGGGATTTACTAATGCGTGATCTCTTCCTGACTCCGCGTCTTCTAAAATGAGTTTCCAACTTGGACGCTATTTGCTCAAAGGCAAGCGGTGATTCGCCTTTTTTCTCCAAAAGCCGCTTGACCAGACAGCGAAGAAGGTCGAAGCACTGCACCCGGTAACCCATCCGTACATTGATTCCCATTCGTACGAGCTCCTGCTCGTTAGGCTTGCGAATTTTAAAAGGCTCGTCAAGCAGATCGACGAAGTCTGAAACTTGATCCACCAGAAGATACTGCTTTCCATCTGTTACAAACGAGGCCCATTTTTCATAATAACCATCGAGGTCCTCTTTAGTGATGACGAGCCCTCCTTCTTGTGCTCGGTTCACGTTCTCAAGGATAATGGCAATATACATGTTCACTATGATAAGGAAAACTATGAAGATGTAGGACACAAGGTAAATCACTGCCCCTACGGGAAATCCGCAGTTACCATTCGGGAATCCCCCATAGTTTGGATCGCAGTCAGGTTCGCGAAGCATTAAGGATTCTAGAATATCATTCCAACCCGCACCTGTAGACAAGCGAAATAACAGCATCATGGAGCGGCCGAAAGTCTCGAAGTTTACCGTGTCGTCCAAGTTCTTCTGTTTCTTAACATGACCAAAGGTGGACATTCCAATGATGGCGTATATGAAGATTATTAAGAACAGGAGTGTCCCAACGTTCAAGAGAGCTGGTAAAGAGATGATTAGCGCCACCAGTAGCTGGCGAATTCCCTTTGCAAACTGCAGGATCCTGAGTAACCTGGCGACTCTTGCGACGCGAAAGACTCGAAGAAGACCTGGATTGATGATACTATTGTCACCAGTCGTGAGCTCGTCCATCGCCAAACCTGTAGACAATATAATGATATGAATAGGGCCATTTCTTAAAAAAATATATTTATTTATTTATTTATTTAATACAATTTAATGGCAGATTTACAAAACAACAAACAAACAAAAATAAGCCATAAGGAGGAGGTCTGTGGAAGTCTCGCTTTCCTGTGTCATATAATTATATCAAGGTGATAGTTTCCAGCACTTTTAATGGGTCGTTATAATCACTATTTATCTCTTGATGCTACAATCATGATATCAAAACACTAGGGGCACGATGAAATTTTTTATGTTATCAAATTTTAATAAGCATGATAAGACGAAACTTTTGGCAGTTTTAAAAAATTATGTACATAGGGTTCAGAGCCACCTTAAATTTTCAAAACTTTTAAAAACTTTGCCAAAAGTTGCGTCTTATCATGCTAATTAAAATTTGATTATTTTTAAAAGTATTTTACCGTGCCGTTTTTGAACCATAAGCCCCTATAAGAAGGGTGTTTAAGGAGGTCATACTGTTGCTATGGTAGCCTATTGTGTCACGAAAATGATAACAACGTGTTTACCGATGATTGGGCAGTTTTTTGATATCATGATTGTAGCATCAAGTGATAAAGAGTGGTTATAATGACCCATCAAAACCTGACTGCTGGAAACTGTTTTGAGCCACCTTAAGAGAAGTCGGTAACCTAAATTCATCATCGCGCAGAATTCTATTGTCTTTCGCGACATATACTTGCAGTGCTCATTTTTTCAATGCGCGGAATAATAATTACAAATATTAGTTGTCGGAATTCCGACTGCTCTCGTCAATGAATCGGCGGCTGTCAATCAAACGGTCTGATGTGTGAAGTAAATCCCAAGGTGTAATAAGCTAACAAAAGC